TACATACAAAATCTTAATAATTGAATCAAATATGGAGCCTGTGACCTTTGGCATGATTGAAATATAACCTAATTTAGATGTTACCTAACCTCCGTAACGAAAAAAATACTGTACCATGTTTACACGTGCATATTTCTTTAAATACAGTAATGGTGTGGGTTAAAATTCTTCTACTACTCTCTGAATACCTCTTCATCAAAATAATATAAAAAGTTTTCCAGTTTTGCAAAGTTCATATCACTGCATTTCTTGTTTTGGAATTGTACCCCTTTTCGTGGAATGGCCGTATAGCACACCACTGACGTATTTGCACCTTGTTATCAAGTTCAAAGAAATATCAAGGAAATATAAAAGAGACTAGTACAAATAAAGCTTTTGTGTTAAAGAAATTTTAAATTTTTTTTGATATGTGGAGTGTGACACGCACCCCCATCCCCACCCCGTCTTGCGGTAAACATTACACTTACATTTCCTGGAACAGAGACTCAACCCCCGCAAGCCTTCTTGAGAAAGACTGTTGTAACAGAATTCCTTTTTCTTCGGGTGAAGGAGCACGACATTGGAAAAAGTCACATTTAACAGGTTACATGGCCAGTGTGGGTCCTTCGTGACTGTCACCAATTCCTCAACGACTTCCCTTTCACACTGCGTCATCTTACAATAATTCTGCAGTTGGATGACGTGTTCATATTTGCCTGTATGGTTATAAATCACATTAGGTAAACATTCTCTGATGCGAGTGCCCTGATCAATTAAGGTGTAACAGGATTCGGAGGCACGAAACTGGCGGATGGATCGGATCATATTTTTAACATCTTTATTGCTATCAGAACAATGCACACTAAGCGGCACTGGTTGGATATTTGCCATATTTAGGCCATAACAAATGGCGCAAAATATGTTCCTAAAGACAATACCAGTTTCCACGTGGTACACGGGACGCAAGATCTCGTCGTCATCGTGGTAAGACAGAGCGTTTGTGCAGAACTCTACAGCGGCGGCGCCATTTTAGCCATGGGGATAATCTGGACAAGAGTCAATGCCTCGCACCAAACCTTTCATTCTAAAAACATCTAAATTGATACAACGGAGGTCTTCAATCACCGACTGTGGCAGTGTCACTGTACGGCGTGGAATTGAAGGGCACAGGGAGTCAGATTGGAAACAACAATCCTGGAAACCGTAGCAGAGGTCGTCCTGGAAGCAGCTGTGGTGGACGCTATTTACCAAAAAGGTCAAATATTCATCAGATTGCCATGGCGCGGAGAAGGCAGAGTCAATGGATTCCAACCACTTCGTTCGGATAAGATGCTCCCGAATGTGGAAGTTTTTTTTATCTTATCTGTGGTCGACAGAAATGTTCGGCTTCCCGCTCGGTAGTTTCAGCGTGTCTGCCAATCTCTAATTACGCCTAAGTTCCAACGTGTTGTAAAACAGATCCAGTTTATTAATTCGGCGGAGAAATGTGCACGTGCGGCACATTTAGCTGCGTGTCGCTTTGTCATGCGTCAAAATTTAATGAACAACACGGGTCTCGTGGCTGTATCGTGTTGTTTGGCTGTTACATCATCCGGCAGACCGTATATCGTTGTTATTCAACAATAGGTAAAAACGCAAGCAGTAAGAAGAGAGAGACAGAAAGAGAATAGGGTGAAGCACACCTGCAGGTTTTCTAGGTAAACTTTTGAAAAGAAAATCTGAACATTGTACACATTTTTGATAAGTAAATTTGTTTTAAAAAAAACACTTCTAAAATCTTTTATTTACTACTGAAAATATTTAAAGTGATTAGAGGCAGATATGAATAAGACTAGGAGTCACGTCATCTCTCCAAGGTTGTATCACTTTAATTCAATTGTTACCACACATTTTCAGTATAAACTTTATGTAGCCAATAACATTTTTGTCTACCATTATATTAAGAATTTATTGTTTCTTCCAACCAATATTTCACATCACAGTTTTGACAGCACAATCTCCTGCAGTTGACCAAACGCCCGAGGAACCTTCACATCTCTTGTAATGTTCTGGGGCTGTACGTGTATACCCTTTCATTCTATAATACGACATACACAGACGCTTCCATGCCGTGCTTTAGGCCAGGTTTTCCCCATGATACATCCTTTGGAAAAAATGACCTACATCTCCGATGTTCACTCTTCATGTCTTATATATAATCCACTCATATTTTAATATTTGACGTTATATCTTATGTTTTCCGCGGGGATGATGCGCCACGTCCAGTCTTCTCTGTCGCATTTTCCTCCTCGGTCGTTTTCCGCTGCAAGAGCGTTGTCACCAGATTCCCCAGCCTAGAACTGCCACCAAAACGACTCCTGGGGGGAGGCCCTTGCCCTTTCCTAAGGCCCTGGTTGGTAGGACTACTCCCCTCTGCCGTCCCCGGGGTGACGCGAATGCTAGGGGGATCTGGGGAGACTTTAGTGCCCCGAACCCTGGCTAAGGCCGAGGCGAAGGGGTTGAAAGATAGCATTGGGCGCCTGGCTTCGACTTCCTCGCTTTCCACTGGCTGTTGGGAGGTAGGTAGAAAATGGATAATTATAGCACAGACAATATTAGAGCTCGTCGCGTGAATTTGGATACACATGATGTCTTTACGAGCGTTTCAAAGAGACTGTGTATACATACTGAAACATTATGCACTTACATGTAATTTTGCATTAATTCGTACCCTGCTCAATAACTCCAGACAGTCAGTTTCCATATTGCTAGTATGACATACTGAATTAGAATAGATGGATAAATATTTCAATATTTAAAGGGAGGTTAGGTTTAAAAACCTAACCTCCCTTTGGTATATTCATCCTTAAGACGTACAAATGACGTCTCACACATCATCTAATCTTATAAGTAGTAAACAGGATTAAAGTGAGAGGTTAAGGATAACCTCAATTATGCCAAAGTAAAGGGTAATTTACCTGAACGCCGCCTTCTTTCCGCTGAGTTATACCTGAAAAAAAGGACAGATTTGAGCAGATGAGAGAGAGAGAGAGAGTGTGAGTGTGTGAAAAGAGAGAATGAGAGCAACAGAGAGATAATAATAAGAGAAAGAGAGAGAATGTGTGTGTGTGACGAGAGAGAGAGAGAGAGAGAGAGCGACAAAGATAATAAGAAGAGAGAGAAATAGCGTGTGTGTGTGTGTGTGTGTATGTGTGTGTGTGTGTGTGATTGAGGAGAGGCATATTTTGACCCACGGGGTCTGGTTGCATGTGTACCTGGCGCAGCTCTAAGAACTTGCTTTACTTCGGGGCTGATGACGCTTCCCTCCTCTGGATTGTCTTCCTGGACAGTGAATTCCTTAAATAAATATTTTAAACAAGTAAGGAATTTGCCAATTTCAGTTTCATATTTCTCTGCCCTTGTATCATTTTTATAGTCTGTCAATGACGTGACGTAATGAAATAATAAAAAACAGTGAATAATAAATAAAAGACAAACAAATAAATATAGCAACACGTGTACATATTGACATATTGACTAAAGAATTACCTCGTATCCACTCCCGCTGTCTGCGTTGGGTATAATCATCTGCCTGAGATAGTTCAACCTGGTAGATCGACTCTCTATCTCGTCATACTTCTTTTGCAGGTAACCCAGCCTAGGTTAAAGTGTAGAACAACGGTGTATATGACCTTTTTCTTCTAATTTTAAAATTTAATGCCTGGGCGGTGAAGAAATTATTCATAGTAATAAACATAACGCCAACACACACTCACACACACACACGCCTGCATTTACTGGAAAGAGCAACCACGTACAATGTTTTACTTCAGATTTACACTGAACCAGACGTATTCAAGAAGATTTATTGTAAAAAAAAGAAAAAGAAAAGAAAGATATTCACCTCCTCCCAATCCTGGCCATCATTATTTTGGGCTCTGTCTTGGCCCCTTGCTGACAGAGCTCGGTGCAAGACCCCAACTCTTGCCCCAGAAGTCCAAGGTCCACCTTCTCCTTGAACGGTATATATGGTGGGTGGCCGACGGGAATGGGAGTGGTCAGATCACTGAAAGAGGTACGGTCACTGGTCAACGATTATGTGGACGTAATGCAACGATCCTGACATATAGGTGGACAAGTTAGCAAACAAGTGAATAAATGAAAAACTTTGTCAAAAGTAAAAAAATAAAGGGGCTGTATCCCTTACCCGAATTCATATGTTCCAATAAGAACCAGTTTAATGGCAAACAGGCAGATTCTGATACCTTATGCTTTAAACTATCAGATGATCAAAATGAATGAAAAAAATCGGTGGGGTGTTGTTTCAGAGGCACATAGTGGATTTTCAGTATCATATCTTGTCCTATTAAAATAACAATGCTTCAACTTCTTTGTGACGCGCAACGTAGAGAAGACGTCATTTATGTAATAATAAGCTTACGTCATAAAAGGGTGGTTTCCAAGGACCCCTTGTCATAACGACAGTGTATTTGCAGTCTGTTCATACTGCACGTAGCGGACAGTAAGCGAACTGTTATTTCACATTTAACATATTGAGCAATGTTTAGAGTTAATAGGATTCAAGCCCTTGACCTAAGGGTAAAAAAGGCAACTTATTTGGTATGTTTATATTTTATTTCATCATTTTTTGCATAATTTGTTACTGCAAACTTTACTCAGTAATGTAAAGTACGAGCAGATCTAATACATGTACGTTGGTATTTCGTTTTAAGATTTTTCATTTTCATTTGTTTTTAATGTACAATGTAGTTGTAGTTTCTATTGGCTTATTTACGAATGACGGTGAAATGCAAGAGTCAAAGTATCATTTTGGAAATATTACACATGTCATTAGCTCACACAACTCCGATATTACACACATGAAAAATATTACTACAGCGCTACTGTACTGATATTGCATATTTTGCTATTTTCAGGGACAAAATAATGCGTGGGGATGTGTTAAGCGTGGTGTGATAAATCTACTTTATTTTGGAAAGTTGTCCACTCAAAATGCATTTCCTCTGGGCCAAAATGGCAACATGGCGCCACAACTAAACGTGGCAGATAAGCAGGAATCGGTGCGTACACCCGAACTGCTCAGGAGCGTTGGAAATGTTCGACTGGAGCTCCGTGGAGACGCGGATAAAAGTCAAACTTTGGAAAATTCAAAGAGCATTCGGCCAAATTTAAAAGTTAAGCTGGTGAGTGAAGCGTCAACCCCTCCTCTCTCTCTCTCTCTCTCCATCCATCCTCTTTCTACATGTACCTTGCTCTTCCTCTCACTCTCCACCCCCCCCCCTCTCTCTCTCTCTCTCCTTTTCTTCATGCACATTTCAGTCGCACTTATCCAAGGCAGGCTTCTAAAACGTATAAAAAGCTAGCTTTCCTTATATTAATGAAACATCATATTCTATTTCAGAGTCAGATCAGACACTGCTCTATAAAAGATATCAAGCTGGACAGCGGTCCTGACGACCGGGCCACCAGAATTGGCATGGGGGACTTCGGCACTGTCTTTAGGGCGACCCACGTCCCCAGCGGAGACCGCGTGGCCGTCAAATTCTTCAAGAGAGACGAGAACACCCGACGGGATATTCTCGTGGAAGCACGTGTCCTGGAGTATCTGAACGGGGCGAAATTGTCTCCGAAGTTCTACGGAGTGGTGAACTACGGGGAGGCCGCAGTTGCCGAGACTGAGTTCTCGCCGCTGGCCGTGGTTACGGAGTTTGTGAGCATTCGGCAAAAGAGTCGCCTCTCGTTCCACTATGAAGAGTTCAGAAAATTCCGCAGCACCCGCCGCCATTTGACCGCCACTGACTGGCTTAGGTTTGGGATGGAGCTGGCAGAAGGTTTGCAGGAAATACATGAGGTAAGTTTTTTTTTTCTTTTTTTTTCTTTTTTTTTAATAACGTTGGGAACAGGAAAAAAGAAAAGGTCAAAAGAAGAGTGGAACGTCACTCGTAATTATCTGTCTATTAATTTCTTATTTCTATCCTTAAATTTATTTTTCATTTTTTTTTTTCTGTCTTGAAAAACTGAATATTATTTTCTTCAATTTGTATCACAAATGCACACGCTCACACGTGTCTTGAGCTAAACTCTCATTAGTCTCGCATAGAGCAACTAGGCCTACAAGTCCACCCACCTTTATTAATATAATTTATATTTATTCCAGATGGGAATTGGCATTTTCGATATAAAGCACGAAAATATCATGGTGCAGCGTGACAGCAAGGGAAGAATTCACCCACGCATCGTGGACTTCGGGGCAGCTTTTCTACTGAACGACGACAAGCCTTATCTTTCACCGAACAAATTCACGTTGGAGATGTTGAAACAACTGCGTCCAATGAGTGAACAACTAGCCCCCGAAATTTTCGAGTTTGCCTCTCGTTCGGCAGCACTGGACGTCTACAGCCTGGGGTTTGTCTTTGGCGATATGGCGAGGCGAGCCAAGGTGTTGGGTTTGAGAGACTTAGCGGCACACTGCATGGCAGACGACCCAACACGGCGGCCATGTTTACCTGACGTCATTGGACACCTGAAGAGACTGCTGAAGGAGGAGAAGCAGCGCAGACTGGCGACTTTTCATCGCAGCGTAGCCTGAAGGTCGTCTTAAAACTGTCTAAAGTTCGTCTTCTAGAACATTTCTGGAGAATTTCGATTTAAAAGCATTTGGGATTTTGAAGAATGATGTCCGGATATAATTTAGTGCAAAATTGAAGGGATTTTAAGAAACCAACGGCAATTGACAGAGACGGACAGAGATTAGTTAGTAAAATGGCATTATTATGGAAAATGCCAAGGTGTTTTATTTATTTATTTATTTATTTATTTATTTATTTATTTATTTATTGGTGACAAAATTGTTATAAAATATTATAAGGAATTTATAAAAAAAAAAAAAAAAAAAAAACATAAGGCAGCAGACACCAATGCCTTTACTGCTCAAAACTACACAGAGCAGATGCGTAAGGAAGAATAGAAATCTTGGCCAATTGAATCCCTTGATGTAACAACAGGCAAACTTAAAGAGCTTTCTGGGCAGTACACGTATTGGCCAGGGATTGTCCTGTGTGATACCTAGAGGAACAAACGAGGAATTCACAGGACAGTAGACGGCATAGGATATCAGATTCCAATTTAAGATATCTTACTAGAATGTATGGCCTTGTCATCCTCCAGAAGCTGACTGAAATGATTTGAGACATATGTTACCAAGTAAGCAGGTACTTTGTTTGGTCAACAAGTCCCATGCTTCTGACCATGAAAGGCGATAAGCACTCTGTATACATGCATTCATATATGAAATGTTATATTGCTTTGGTGAGAGCATTCAATATGTTGATAGAGACAAATGAGAAGAGTTGTGTTAGTCAGTGCAGCAAAGGTTTTTAAGCCACCAGTATATTTGGCTTTAGACACTTTCTATGCACTCATGCATCTATGTTTTTACCTCTAAAATGAATGTTGCATTTTGAGAAGCTGCTTTTTTATCTTTTTTTATTTGATCGTGTATGGTCAAATGATTCTTGTTAGATGCATTTTCGTAACCACAAAAGCTTAGACGGATTCTTTAATTTATGCAGTCACTTGCTTGTATATATTTGCAAATAACATTTTTTCATCTGTAAATAAACGTTTTTTATTTTTATTGTGGTTTTACTACGTTCAATTTACCCTCTGTTGGAAGGGCTGGGTTCTTGTTTGAATGCCACAGATTTTTAAAATCAATATTAAAATTAAACATTTGATGAACATTAACCCTTCACGTTATTTTTAAGTAAAATATCTTGATATTCCTTTGTCCGCATCCGCTTTTTTTTATCTTAACACAGATTCAACTAAATTCAAATCAAAAAGAAAGAAAGAGTAACTTTACACATGAACAAGAAACGAGAAGAAAATCAAATTAAACAGCAACAATAACAAGAAGAAATTCCGGGCATTACTTTAAAGTATCCGTTCTTCCTGGTATAGGCTCTGGTCTCAAGAACAGAGAGTGGGTGATCTGTTGTTTCGGGTCCATCTGGCGGTTCTCCAGCTTCAAAGACAGAAAATAAGAACAGCTTGTGAAGAGTCCATACTGATGTCGGATGCTATTTTGCTTTATGGCGTATATGGTAAATGTATTTAAAAAAACTTGCGTTAAATCATTCTTTTACTTAAAATGCGTTCACCAAATCACCGTTTACATAAGACAGGCAGTTTTCTTTACGAGTGACATTTAGATAAAAAAAATTATTTTTTTTTAATTTTGAGATAAAAAATTAAGTCACCTGGTTGGAGAATCCGTAGCCAAAGCTGCCGTAAGCAAAGCAGAACTCCACCTCGAGCACTGCCATAGGCTTGGTTTTACGGGTCAGAGCCAGCGCTTCCACCGAGTACAGTTTCTTAGAGATGGTAAACAAACAAACACACAAATAGATAAATAAACAACACAAACAACAACATAGGATTTAATTGTTCTACACGTGTGCAATATATTTTTCTTTCGTTTTCCTTCATTTATCTTTATTCGTGTATAATCATACATTTTTTCCTAATTCATTTGTCCCAGCTACTTAAAATTATTTTACATTTTATTTTATATAACAAAGCTGAGAAAAGCTGTTGTATTAACCTTGATGATGTCATACAAATGGATCTGTTTACTGGCAATAATGCGATGTCTCTCAGGCGACTCATAACCTATCAGTTCTAGCTTCACTTTGTTTGACAAATCTTGGCGCTTGTTGCTCAGCTAAAGAGAACACACCGTTTTTAAATTTATTAGAACAAAAGAAATCGGGCAAATTTAAATATGCGGATAACAGAAGACATTTGTAAGCCTGAACTCTCTGATTACACCACACACACATATAAATAAGCATTAACGAACTTTGTATTATTTACTTCTTTTTACAAATACTTTTTCCCAACCAGCTTAACTTAGGTCTAAGTGTCAGAAACAAGTATGAAAAACGCCATTAAAATTACCTTTACCTAAAAGGTACAATATGTCTTCTGGTCGACGGGAATAAATCAAAACTTGAATGCAATTATCAGGAATATTTAAACATGCTCTGTAAAACCAAAGACTGCAACAGATTTTAAAAATAAGAATAAATAAAACTTTTAAAAAGGAATTTACCTTAATGGCAAAATGTCTGAGGTCGTCGAGTGCGGCCTGAGTTTTGGTCACTCCACTCTGGACGACCGACGAGTTCTTACACACCGCTCCAATGTGGATCCTTACATAGAGACTGATGGGGTAGTCCTCAAATACTGCAGGAGCTTTGGTCAAGAGAAATAGTTTAACTGACAACTGGACATTTAGAAGTCTTGGAAGGCAACAAGAAATTAAAGAAAGAAGGAGAAAAGGAGAGAAAGAAGAACGGATGAATGAATGAATGAATGAATGAATGAAAGTACCAGAATCTCGCCCAGATAATGATTGATCTATCTGCAAAGAAGAGGCTTAGCAGAGGTATTTTCTCACAGCAACGTAATCCCCAGGCTAATTAACGTTCTAGTGTGGAGTAAATAAACTTCAAGGATACGATTTTCGAAATCCAACTTTATGTTTTTCAGTTGTTTCAAATGGATTGACAGCACTCCGTTCTACAAATTAAAAAGTGTAAGAAATGCATCAACATTACAAGCCTTCTCAACTTACTGGTCTCAATAAAAAAAAAAAGAAATACTGCAAAATCTCTTTTGAAAATAAATAATAGGGCCTAATCAAAACACGGCACACCTTACAAAACGATAATAAAAACTAAAAGGTAGCCTTAACCCATAAGTACACCTCACTCGCACACTATAATTGTTTTCCAAAAACTAGAGGATGCTAACATTTCGATCACATAATTCTGGCATCATAGGCTCCATTTGTACGACAAATGGTAATGCAAAAATAAGTGTGATTAAAATCAGAGATCATAAGAAATAACACATACTGGCCTTGACAAGGCATCATCAGGTTTAAATAGTACATGAGAATGCGGATCACGGAATTCGTCGTCGTAATGACCATGATGAAGACCATGCTCCATCTTACATGCGTGTATCACTGCTGCTATTGTTTCGCGCCGAGCTTCGCCACGATTCTTCGCAGCGTTTTACGCCTGACGCTGTTGACGTAATATTCTCGCGAGCAACGTGACGACAAGCAGGCGACAGTTTTCGCGCCACACTGCAAACATGAAGCGCAACACTGCTCTTTCTGAAAAAAAAAATGTAGTTTTATATTAATTAGTAGATACAAACAAACTGTTCGCGGCAAATTTAATTTTGGAGATAAGTTTGAAGTCCGACATCACAATGGATCATCTCAACTAACACACTTCACACAACTAATCTCCTTTTCCTAGAGAACTTGACTTGTTTTCTCGACTTTGGCTCCTACTTTCTGTTAGCAAGCATATTATCGCTGAAATAGAAAATCTGGTGAATTCTGGGTGTCACACCCAAAGGGTGCGACGATGCAGGATCCCGCGGGTCAGTGCTGGGCCGCTGTGATTCGTGGGGGTCGAAATAAGAACTGTTTTGTTTCCCTGCCTCCGGCAAGCTGGACCTCGCAAAACACATTCGAAGATGGCAAGGTAAACAAACCAAAGATAGCTTAATGGAAGTCTTGGTATTAGATTAGACCTCTTTAGTAACAGAACAGCAGATTGCACCTTTCATGGGGTAATCAAAATCATTCACTGAAAATTTGGAGAAATGGAAATTTTGATTATTAGTCGAAGATGTAGGGGAGGGCGACAGGTCAGAAAATAGGTACTTCTTCAGGGGCACGTTGCATTTAGAATTTCTAACTCTCTTGCTTTCTTCACCCCAAATGTGCCCATAAAATATAACACTGGCACTGAGCTTGCTCATGTTCCACTTTGTTGCACCTTTCAATGCACACTAAAATGTTATACCAACATGATATAATTACTAGAAGTACATGTATATATAGTACTATGTAGTAACATATATAATTGGCTTCCAGTTGCAGGTGTTCCAGCTTCAGTCCCAGAGTGGCAGGATAGCCTATGTCAGCTGGTCAGGGGGACTGACCACAGGGACCCCAGGCTCTCAGGACACCATTGAACTCAATGGACTGTACGCAGACAAATTGGGCTTTAAGGTTGGAGAAGAGGTACCAGGAGATTTATCTATTAATTTTTTATTCTTATTGGTACTATAAGTATAGAGAGGAGGTGTGGAATTTTAATTAATTTTTTTTTAATATTGTTATCATTGCACAGTATAATTATGGTGAAGAAGTGTTGTGTTTGGGTTAAAAATATATTTAGTGTTGTGGTGTACTTGTAGAATATTTCAGATGAGCTAATATTGAGTGCATTTTATATTTGAAAGACATCCTAATTCACTATTTCTATGACATAGCTAATTATAACCTGTTAAGGCAATTTTTTAATATTTATTATGTTTTTTATAAATATTTACATAACAGAGAGAATTATTTTGACATTGAGATATATTGTTTGTGTGTTTAAACAATAAACTGTTTCTATGCAAATTTAAATATAAGAATTTAGTACTCAAACTGGGATACACTGATAGGTTTATACTCAGGTTATGGGTTAAAGGTCTTGTTTAGAGACAAATATGATTGTTTTAATTCTATATTTATATTTTTTTCTCTGCCCATTAATCTCAGGTCCTTGTGAAAGCTGTTCCCAGTGTGGCATCATGCACCAGGATATTTGTTGAACCTCTCTCCGTGGATGACTGGGAGATACTGGTAAGACAAACAGACCAAAAAAATACCATCAAGAAATGTTTGTGAAGTAATCAAAGAGAATTTGAGGTAATGCTTAATAATTTGTGTGAGAGTATTTTTGTAATTTTAGAGTAATCAACTGGCTTCTTAACTTATTTCCAGGAACTCCACTCCAGTTTCCTAGAGAGTCATCTCCTCAATCAGCTCCGGGTGGTGTGGCCCCAGCAAGTGATGCCACTCTGGGTGGAGGGGGCCGTCTGTATTTTTGTCACAGTGGGTGAGTGCTGTGATAAGTACATGTGCGTGTGTGTACTATAGTACATTTATGTGTAATTATGTGTTACTTGTGCTTGTATATGTTTACACCACAATTAGTGTTTCTGTCCAAATATTGATCTTTTTTAATTAGTTAGTCCATGCAGCCTCCAACACCATCCCCACCCCCTGTCAATTAAAAGTAAGGGCTGGGAACTCATCAATATGACTTATTTCACTTGTTTACAATATCATTGGCATTTATTCTCATTCATAAAAACAAACATTTCCATGAACTTTACAAAGTATAAGTTACCCGTAGGGAAATCTTTTACTGTGCATTTTTAAATCATTCTTCATTTTATCTATTTCTATAGCGTCCATGGAACCCAATGTCCCATGTGCTTTACTGGAACAACACACAGAGGTCGTCATAGCACCCAAGGTCAGGGAATCTGGGTCAAGGTCAAGCACATTCAAGCCCAAAGCAAAGGAAGACGACAAACTGAACAAAGGAGAAAATCAAAAAGCTAGTGCAAATGAAGAGCACTCAAAAGTGACAAAAATGATGAATGGGGATATTGTGGATGATGTGAAGACCCATAGCGAGGAGCATAAGAGGAGTGATGAACTTTCTGAAAGCAAGTCAGCTCAGGCTTCAAACATAAGGGGGATTTATGACTTCTTCAAATTCATAATCAAGGGGCCTCAGGCTCCTTTCGGTTTAGAAATGTCATCTGACCTTCACCATGGAACAAGGTCGGAAATTCTGGACATGGACGTCAACATGGTGCTGAGAGTCCAACCAATGAAATGTTTGGACACTTTGGAACTCATGTCAGAAAATGGAAGCCATGATTTGAGTGGTCAGTCTTCAGAAACCACTTTTCTTTTACAGCCTACAACTGTTTACATCTCTGCAAATACTCTGCTACAACATGGCTACGTGGACATTGACGCCATGTGTCCATCATTTTTAGCTAAGTTAACCAAACTTCCATCCCCCAAAGAAAAACGGGAGATTGCAAAAAGGGCAGCCGCAAAAACTAAAACTGACAAGAACTTGAAAGACAAGTCCAAAGGTAAACCTGGTCACCATGACAACAGCGTCAAAGTTGAAGAGGGTCAGAGTATCGTAGTGCGTGTTGTGGTGGTGAATGCTCAGTATGGTGTGCCATCCAGAGCAAAGACTCCTGCAGAAAATGAAATTGCCATGAAAGGAAATATACACACAAAGGAAAAAGTTACATTTGGTGAAGAAGCTGATAACATTTTTGAAGGTGACGAAAAACTCGGCTCTGGGGGTGAATTCCACAGTGGTGGAAGAGTTCATTCTGGAACAGGGATACCTGGAGGTGGAAGAGTTCATTCTGGTGCTGGTGTTGAAGTAAGCAGGACCAAGGTGCTGGAGACGGTATCGGATGGTCACATTCTTCTTCCAGAGTTCCTAAGAAGACAAGGGGGCCTGGGGGGCTTGGCCAGGGTCCACCTGGAGGGAATTCATTCTCACAGCTCTACATTCACTCAGCTGTCTCTGCACCCTCTTACACCAGTGGTGAGGAAAGTTTTATCTCTTTTGCTTTATTAATTGAAAATAATTTTACCTGATAGTTACTGTCCTAAGCACTTCCAATTCAGTGCATTCTAAACGTAACATTATGGCAACAATTTTCTGTGTTTTATAAACTTTTGGAGCAAACCTTCAGACTCGTTTTAATAAATACCATTTTTGTCATTGATAAATAACTTCAGGATGTATATTATTGTAATCTATGTGCTTTACCATCTTTGAAACATCTGCTCCTCATGAGCATAATTTTGGAATCATAATTGATCATTGAAGTAATCACTATTCCATTCAGACAAAGAAATACACCAAGGAAATGTACAGAACTGCACTGAGAGTTTGGCTGAGACAGGCAGCAACTGAGAACTTCCCATTTATTATCACACAGGGCACTTTGTTCAGTCTTCCACTAGGGGGAGGTAGGTCACTGGCCAGGTTGTGCCTTGATTGTGGTAATTGTGCTCACAGTCTCACCTGTAGCAATTTGTAAATGTTTCAGTCAGTTGGTTATAACAACCATTCAACACTTTTTTTGTAACACATTGAAGGAATTTGTGACAAATGTTGTGATTTTGTAGACTTGATTGTGTTTGAGTTAATGTCACACCTACCACAATGGATAAAATGATTGAATAACAATTCATTTATTGTATATATGTATTTTTGATATATTTCAGAACACTCACAGGAGTTTCTCCTAACACTCCAGGGAGTAGAAGAAAGCCCAGACTCAACAGAAACGTATGCTCAACTGGAGGAGTCTTCCCTTGATGCTGTGAGAGTCAGAGTCACAGAACAAGTACGAGATTCAAAGAAACCCAGAGAGGTGGCTGCTCTACCAGCATCAAGTGTGGCAGAGGTGGACTGTCCTGTACCGGCTGTTGAAGTGGAAGATCTTGGGTAAAAGCTCTAATGGCAACATGTTCAATGGGCATTTTCAGTTGCTTCTCTGTAGATGTACTTAAAAGGTTTCATTAAATTTTTAAGCTAGCTTTGTGTCTTGGTATTCCAGGCTCGTTTAAGCAGAGTTCTTGCCTGTTGTCATGCTTTGGATTCAATATTGCTGAATGCAGTGATAAACTTATTTTAAAAAACAGCATTTTTATGGATGTAATTTTTTTAAATTATTTTTTAGGGTATGCCAAATTCCACATTACTTATACATATGCATAACATGTAAACACTACATATATTCTTTTGTTTTAAAGAGCTCATTTTCATGTCATTCGCATATGTGAGATCTAGAATATGAATGAAAGTCTCTTCATCTCACTTCATAACAACTGTACAATTACAGCGGTATCAAGTCACTCTCCCAGCAAGCAATAGAATTTCTAGAATGCTCCATAGCACAGCGGCCATTGCCAAAACAGCTACTAGATGGCAGCAGCAGTATTGCAAATGGCTGCCTCTTGGTGTGTGGAAACAAGGGGTGTGGAAAGAGCAGCTTCACCAGAGGTCTCTGTGCCAAGCTGAGCCAGCCACCGAACCTGGCATATGTGGAAATAGTGGATTGTAAAAGTCTTAAAGGTAGGACTGTAGAAGTGAAAGTAGAACTTTTTTTTTCAACTTATAAAGAATGTGACAGTTAGAGTCTGTGTCAACTACATGATTATATAACTGGGAAGATTACTTCAAATGTTAGCTGTAAAGATTTATATCTATATTCTGTCACCCAGGGAAAAGAATAGAAGTCATCCAGACCATTCTTCGCCAGGTCTTCAATGAAGCTGCATGGCGACAGCCTGCTGTGATCTTATTGGATGATTTGGATCATGTGACCAGTTCTCCCAGAAGCCCTGAAATGGAACTGACAGGAGAGGCAATGTACAATGCCGAGGTGGCTGAAGGTGAAGAAACAAGTGGGAGTTTGCTGGGTCTAGGTCTTTTGTAAAGATAAAAGATGAAATATTTATGATCCATTCAAACTTATTCATTGGAAAAAATATTTTTGGTTTTTGACAATTTATAATTATTTTATCAGGAGTTAATTTCTCTTTAATTTGATATTGAATTTTCTCTAAAATTTCAGATTTATTTAAGGACATTTACACACAACAGCCATGATAATACAAAAACATATTACTTACTAAACTAACTTTGTGAACTTATATACTTTGCACTTACTAGCTTGTGTGTCTCCTATATCTAGCATTATTTTTAATGTGGCATTTTACAGCTATGAAAGACATCCTAATGTCAGAGGTGGCAGAGAGGTCAAAGGTCGTTGTCATAGCAACCAGTGCATCGCGTCTATCTCTGAATCAGATTTTAGTCCCTTCTAGAGGAGCTCACATCTTTCAGGAAGTCTTACAAATAAAACCACCACAACAGGTATGGGGTACTCTAGACTCAAGCTAAAACTTGAATTGTAATTGTGGCCCACTGGCATGTTGTTGACAGAGTATGATCAGTTTGAATTGTGATAATTAAATCCTGGAAAAGATGTTGCATGTGTGGAGGAGTTGGTCCAATTTGCAGTAGTTGTGGTTAATTATGATATTGTTTATTTTCCTGAAGATTCTGGGTGGTCATCCTCATTAACACAAACTAGTCAATTAAGCAACCTGGGTTGGTCTCTGTGGATAGGGACATTTTGCTGAAATGTTAATTAACTGAATAGTTTTTAAAGCACTGATATGTAGTCCTTTTCTAAAAATCTTATTTATTTATTTATTTATTTATTTATTTATTTATTTCTATTTTTTTTATTATGTACAGACNTATTTATTTATTTATTTATTTATTTTATTCTATTTTTTTTATTTATTAGTAGCTCTCCCCCCAAAAAAAGTTTTTGAAAGCAGGCTGAATACAGCAATATAATCTAACAGACAAGAGAGGAAGCGACACATTAAACTCATCTTTAAAAAAAGCTTTTTTAATCTCCTGTTGCGGGACATGGGCATAAGCCTTTTTTTGTTTTCATTGATTTGTTTTATTTGTTTAAGGAGTTCAGATGAATTGAAAACTTTTATTCACTGTTTCAGGCACAAAGAAAAGAGATCCTGACGTCCATTCTCTACAGTAAGGCGGTGGTGGACCCCAGAACTGTGGCAGAGGTCAATCTGGTGACCATAGCCTCAAAGATGGAGGGGTTTCAGGCTAGAGACTTGGTGAAAGTGGTGGAGAAAGCTATACATGCTCATCTGCTGACACACACAGGTGAGAGTGAAAAAACAGATGCCCTTTTATGACCCCATAGTATTGACAGGACAGTGAGAGAGAACTGTAGACAGGCACTGGTGAGGTTGAAAACCAGGTTTATATCATAGTATGACAAATCTGGACAAACTTATTAAAGTTTGCTTATTTTTTATGTTTTGATGAATTTTTCAAAATAAAAAAAAAAAAAAAAACATCAGCAGATAATTATCTTCTAATTTCTTCTGATTTTTTTTATAACCAATATCTTTTTCAAATTTTCACCATACACCTTTCTGGGTCCCCAAGTTGCAGTGCATTCATACTACCACTTCTGTGTGCCAGAAGATATATATATATATGCTTTCTCTTATCCTAAAATTTTGTCTTCATATGTTTCTTTTAATTTTTGATGTTACGTTGTATATGTTAAGCACAAGGAAGCAGAAGTTATCTGTAATCGTTTTGCACTGTGTTGTTATTAGCCCCGCAGAGGCATGGCCAGATGAATAAGAAAATAACCATATGTATCTTCCAGTCTCAGCCAGCAGTGAACTGGTGCTGACAGATGAGGATTTTGAAGCAGCTCTTGATGGGTTTACGCCAGCGTCTCTGAGGGACGTGCCCCTACACACCCCCGGGGAGTTAGGCTGGGGAGACGTGGGGGGTCTGCAAGAGGTCCGAAACACTTTGCTGGAGACCTTACAGTGGCCCTCAAAGGTACCAGTACACCCCACCTGCATATAGTGTGTGTATATGATATATAATGATAATATTAATTAATATTTTATCCACTTACTTTGGCAAGACCAATGGACAATTATATTGGACTTCCATCTTTCTCTGCCCTCAGTCCTCTCTGTGCATTGATACATATTCTATGGATCATCAACATCATCATTACTATTATTTAGTCTAGTTGTTTACAGGTGTTATTCTATTGTTAGTAAGACCCTAAACAATAGGTTAACCCATTTTGATTGAGTACTGTCATGTTGGCAGCCTTATGGTATCCCTCTGTACTAGTACGTGATGCTTTACTAGCAGAATACTTTATCCAGTAAGAGGTAGCTGATGTTTGATATTTAATTCTGCTCACTGGATATAATAAGGAGATATATTTCAATTTCCAGTACCCGGTATTGTTCAGTCACTGCCCTCTACGGCTAAGATCAGGCCTTTTGTTGTACGGAGCCCCAGGGACAGGCAAGACACTACTGGCAGGGGTAGTAGCCAAGGAATGTGGCCTGAACTTTATTAGTATTAAGGTAAGACTTCTTTGTAACTTCATCATTACTTACGTATAAACCTCAAGCATAGAATTTCCATGAACTTAATGAGTATTAACTTCATTATAAAGGTTAGACTTCCCATAAATTTCATCAGTATTAACACATAATGGAGGGTCTTCCTAGAACTTTCATTGGTAATAATTAATTAACTTAAATGTTTGACCTTGCATGCTCTGCATTTGATTAAGTATCTTAATATTTAAATTATCAAGTTGAAACTTACGTATGAAGATTTGCGTTCTGATATTTCCATAATCATCTGACTGTAAGATTTTCAAAAACCAATGAGGTTATGCAGAGATATGATGTTCCTTGCTTTTTAAAAATCAAAAACAAAAAATTTAATAAGATATGTATCTTATAACACTAATATATTTATTGTTTGTTTTATTTTATTTTCTTTTTCGTAGGGTCCAGAGCTTCTAAGTAAATACATAGGTGCCAGTGAGCAAGCAGTGAGAGATACGTTTACCAGGTAATGGTGAACAATGTATTAGTTTTAAAAATGAAGTAATTATTCTCCAGTCAACAGCTTAATATTGAAATAGTTACCACCAGTATTTTGATGTTTGCCCAGAACATCTTCATCAAGGAAATGAGGCCAATGGAGGTAAATATATGGAGGTAACTATCTCAATATTAAGCTCCTGACTGAAGAAAAATTACCTCATTCTTATAACATAACATGCCTGATGAAATTCTTCTCTGATGTCCTTATGAGTTAGGTTGTCATGAAGAAAGAAAGAAATATATATGTTCATTAATTGTTTTATCTATGAAACTGATACTATAATTTTTCAAATGAAATAACTTTTATGTTGTGTAATCATGATAAGGTGTTCAAACAAATACCCCCTTATCTAATGATAATTATAACCAAAGCTAGAATAGGGGAAATCCTTTTTATGCAATACTTAATCACATAATCATCAAATCTAGCATATTATTCCTATCCTGCAAAACATGGAGGGTTATAAAAGACGGATGTAGAGTGTTTCTAAGGTGACATTAGATCTGGTTCACTAAGGTTGTAAAATTTATTTATTTTTTCTTTATGTGATTTTTTTGTACATATAATTTTGTGCATCGTGATTACCATTCAAGTGGTAGTTCTTCAGTGAGTCTTCTAAAATGAGTTGCATATTCCTTCTGAATCAGTATTTTTTTTTCAATATATTTCAGAGCTCAAAGTGCCAAACCTTGTATCTTATTCTTTGATGAGTTTGATGCCTTGGCTCCACGGTAAGTTTGATTCCAGTTAACTTACTTGCATATATTAATTTAAAATAAAGGTTGTTTCTGATATCCCTAAAGGCCAGTCATCTTTTCCATTATGGTAGTGACTGGATCTTTTCAATGGGAAAACAAATTAAATTTGGAATCATTAAAAATTGTATTTCTGTGTAGCATGAAATTCTGTGGTGTTTGTAAAATATTGAAAAGCATTAAAGAGAAGCCTGCTTTTCAGTTTTTTTGCTACCACTCGATAGGAGGAATATTCTAATATTACAAACTTATGACTTAAAGAAGTACAGTATCTGTAAAGAAGTACAGTATCTGTAAAATTCACAATTTTTCCCACTGAAAAGATGGAGTCATTATGATATTTTATAATAGTAATGACCACTTTGATATGATTATCCACAGTTAGAATAATAGGCAAATAATGAAAACTTCAGAATAAAGAAGCTGCCTTATATTGGATCTCATAGTTCTGTCTAGTAACATACTACTCAATGTTTACTTTGTTTTTTAAAAAGCGGTACATATTTTATATTGACCAGTCTATATATGTCATAGTGACAAGTCTGTATATTCCAGGCGCGGTCATGACAGCACTGGCGTCACTGACCGAGTGGTCAACCAACTACTGACCCAGCTTGATGGAGTGGAAGGATTGGATGGTAAGAAATAAGAACTTAATATTATTATATCTGACCAGACCAAGACTGCAGATTTTATATTTTGTGATGCTAAATACAGAAAAAGAGAGTATGATCACTTTCAGAACAAGCTGATCTGAGATTTAATTGTTGTGCTCCTGCGGGGATGGCACATATGAGTGTCCATTGGGGGATAAGGCAACTAAGAAAGATTGTTGAAATGGCAGGTAATGTAATTGGAACGGATCATACCCCCATTCATTCCATTTATCTCAATAGGGCTAAAAATAAAACAGCTTCCATTATGATTGATACCACTCACCCAGCTCAAACCCTATTCAAATTTTTACCCAGTAACTCGAGGCTTTTAGTTTTTAAGGGTAGTAAGCGATTTTTATCTAGCTTTTATCCTTCCGCAGTAACAATTTTTAATACTAATTCATAGTTTCATTCTAGTACATTTAAATAGTTTTGTTCAACAATGACACTATTACAAGGCAAAAGATTCCTGATTTTATACATTTGCATTTTATTGGTTTAATATATTATTATCTCAGTCTTATCTCTGTTTACCAGGCGTGTATGTGCTGGCTGCCACTAGTCGTCCTGACCTAATAGACCCTGCCCTCCTCAGACCTGGACGCTTGGACAAAAGTCTTCACTGTGGACTGCCCACACAGGTAGTATAATAGAATAAAATTGAATAATTTAATATAATGTTATATAAAGTGATGCAGTTCGATATGATGCAGTGCTATGTGATGCAATACAATACAATACAATACAATAAAATACAATATTATTTCTCTGTCATTCATATTGTATATTTTAATGTGTCTCTCATCCTATTATATTTCAAATAATGACAAATACATCTAAAATGCTATGACCACAATTCCAGGCAGAGAGACTGGACATCCTCCGTGTCCTTACCAAGCAGGTCAACATGGCGGAGGACGTTGACCTTGAGGTCATCGCCCAGAAATGTCACCACTTCACTGGAGCCGATTTCAAAGCCTTGTTGTACAATGCTCAGTTGGAGGCTATCCACGACAGGGTGAAAATACCAGCCACAGAGAGACCAGACACCCTCAAAGATATGGTAACTTCTGCCTTAGATAATGGAAACGACCTGAATACTGAATTTAGATCACCTTATGACCTTGACCCTAATTCACAGAATGGCCTTGACCTCATGCCACATGAGGACAGCAATTCTGTTGCAAGTTATTCTTCAGTGTCAGACACTTCTACAACAGATAGAAAACAGACTGCAGTGATCATTGAGAAAGAGCAACCAAATAAAATCAAGACAAAGAAAGGAAGAGGGGCTAAAACAAAAATGGATGGCATAGATTTGGAGAGAGGCAGGACTGAGGTTGAGTATGATGAAGATGTGACGTATATTCCAAGTATAGAGCAAGGCCCTGTGAAACTGAGAGAAGAAACAAAGGACAGGTTGACTTCTGAGGTAAAAAAAAATGACTTTGAGGTGATAAATTAAATTTTATTGATACAAAAACTGCATTGTACTCCATCCATTCCAGGAGAAATGAAATGCATTAATTTTTCACCTAATTTGGAGCTTAAGTTAGGTTATAAGTCTCAAACATCCCTTACACCATTAGCCCTACAATTTAAATTAAAGAAATGTCATTTATTTCATTACACATGATCTCAGATGTGAGGTGTACATGTACTCCTTGGCTAGTGGGTGTGTCTGTGCCTTAAGTTCATAGAAGTGATATGCTCTTGTAAAAAAACAGGTCATTGAACCCAAATTGTTCCCATTAAAGAGCTATTGTTCTATGGCATCAGCATGGCCTGACACCTTCAGGGAAAGATGTGGGTGTCCACTTAACTTTAAGGTTGATTTCACAAATATATATATTGAATTTGAGATATATTGGCCTCATTTAAGGACAGCGAAATTAAAATTGAGAAATGTTTGACTTGGTATAAATGACATTTTATTTCTCTGAGAAGTATTTTAGCCTCTAGCAAGAAATGTTAAGTTTGACTTAGTATATTAATACAGTTCAGTTTTGTTTTTATAAAATAATTTGACCTCATTTAACATCAGCAGAATTGAGACAATTTCTTAAAGACAATTATGTAATATATTTTTGGGATATTTTATTTCAGGTCAGCAGAATTAAGTCAAAGATTACTCAGAAAAACTTAGATGGTCATCAAGATTTGACCAGCAAACTGACCACTGCCGTCATGATTAGCCAATCACATCTCTTCAAATCTGCTGCTGCGATGAAGCCATCTGTGTCTGCTGCTGAGAGAGAAAAATACAGAAAAATGTAAGTTGAACTTCAGTTTGTTTTATGTGAACCAACCTTTAAACATAAAAGTAGAAAAAAGTCCTTCCAAATTAATGTTTTATGGATAAACTTTTAAAATATAAATAAAAGGAAGCACTGAGTGGATTTCAATTTTAATTCTTTCTAACAATAATTTAGTGTGTTATTATGCAATTTCACTGAATTCATCAGTTGTAGCTGTTTAACACCCCATTTCCATAGATTTTTAGATCGATCTATCCCTGTGGGGAGTCTCACTAGATTACTGTCAGCTTGGCCGGCTTAAGCGTCTGTCCTGCCTACTAAAAGCTGTAAGGGGGTAATTAACTATGGTGTCCCCTCGGCTGACTGCAATTTAGCGTGAACCCCCAGGGAGTTAGGTCGATCTAAATCTTAATCTTTAGATCGATCTAAATCTCTGGGAAAGCACCCTTAAATTTTTTAGTGTCTCCTTTGTTCTTCCTTAACAACCGACATGATTTGAACCTAATTTAATAATTGAAGAATAAAAAAGTATTTTCACCCAGTAACACTTTTTTGATGATTCCCCCCCTAGCTATGAGCAGTTTGTGTTGTCCAAAGGAGGCGGATTCAGCAACAAGGAAGAAATGGCACAGAAGAAAAGACTGACACTGGCTTAATTCAAAATTTACCAAGAAAATGAGTATTTCTGTCTCATTCTCTCTCTCTCTCTCTCTCTCTCTGAGGTAAATTCTGAATTGAACAGATGATGTCTAGAAAACCATGACAAGTGTCAAGATTATGATATGTCAGAGAGAAAAGCTGTACCCACCACCATATGTTTACTGTAGTCTTTCAGAATAGGACGGAGTAAGACAACAAATTAGTGATGGAATGCTTTCTTTCAATTAAAGTAGATGCTTTTTGTATTTCATTTGATTCCATTAGGTAGAATGTATAACGTATATTAATTTGCTATTTTTAGTTCTTCTGATTTATGTGAAATACTAGGACAAATATTGTATGATTATTATTATTTTTTTACAATTTTATTTTGAATGAATGAAGGCACAGACGTATCTGCACCTGCCTTGTTGGAATTTTAAGAACCTTTTGATTAAGTTATTCCATTTTTTAATAAGAACACTAAATATTTTTATGTTAATATACTCTATCTCGGCAACACATGCTGAGAATAAGACATTGTTACCAAACATATGATTGTTATCAATATTTATATGGAATAAATGGGTAACTAAGAAACTTTCTAACTTTTTTGTACCCTTTAGTTATTTTCCAAAATGATAAATTATCACTTTTGAGTAAAAAACTGGAAATTATTTATTATCAAAAATCATGAATTATGGCTTTTAAGTGAATAACAGGAAGTTTGGCCCAGATTGCAAATGTTAAAACGGCTTATATAAATTAGGCAATAATTATGATTAATTGAAAAAACTTGAATTTGAATGGGAAATCTCACACGCAGGGGCTTACCGTTAATTAAGTGCACTGATTTGTTTCCTGAAATGAAGGATTTATTTTCTGACATGAAGAATATGTTTCCTGGCGTGAAGAATTTGTTTTCTGACATGCAGGATTAGATATTACCACCAGAGGACTGCTGCTAATGAGACAACAGACTGTTAATACAGTGACGTCAGTATTTCGTAAATTATTTTTCTTTGCCTTGGGAGTCAACAGCTTAATTACTATTTCAATGAGTTCTTTAACGTTTCAACCACTGAATGCATTGTTGGGATTAAATTCACACACCGGGAGGTTTTGTCCGTGGGGTAAACGGGATTTTTACTCTGCCTAATCAACGTTTAATACCCACTGCCTGGATAACACCATGACTCTGTAACAATCCAGGAAAATTAAGAAATCCTTAGCCCCCACCTGAGCGCGGAATTCTAGAATTCTGGCATCACACTGAGCTCTGGACTCAAAATCATGCTGAGATGTTAGATGGCTGTATGTCTTGAACTGTAGACTAACTGCCATTGATTCGTAATTAAAACCACATTCTGCTTCTAGACAAATAACTTCTAAGTACAATATATATAATACAATATTAATTTTTTAGTAATTTTTATGCAATTTTATTAAGGTTTTTATTGATTTATTCTTTGCAAAAGTTTCAACAGTCAAATCGACAGTCCATAGTTATTTTTTTTAATTATTCAATTATTTATTTGTTTTTGACAAGCCTTAAAATGATTTTTCAAATGGTAAAATGAAAACGCTTTCACGGCTTGAATCATATTAAGGAATGTTGCTTCAAAGTTTTCCTTTGCAAAATAATCTTGGGTTCGGTGTCAGAAATAGCGAGAGGTTATCAATATAAAATGTTTATAGGTAGTTATCTGTATGTTTGTGGGCTAACGCGAGTACAGCGTCATCGTAATGCTCTCTCTCTCTCTCTCTCTCTCTCTCTCTCTCTCTCTCTCTCTCTCCATTCAAATCCACACAAAACTCTGATTTAACTCGGCGAACTCCCTGCCTTTGATCTCTTGCCCACTGCCATTTGTCATGGCTCCGAACCGAACACCGCAACTCCAGGAAACACTAGACAACATTCACGAAAATTCACTCAGCCCTTTGTAACAGCCATTTTATCTATTAAAAACACATCTCTTTGAACGAGTATGGGGTTCAGTGTTCTATGCTAGATTTTCACCCCGTAACAATGGAGTATTTTTTCACTATCATTTATCGAGGACGGCATCGGGGGTGTTCGCTTTGTGTTTGCTCCACTGGGGTCTTCTTGGTTGATCTTTATATAATGGGTTGAAATGAGTGAGAGTCACCATTCGATACCCTTGATCTGTCTCTCGTGATAATGCTGCCAACATAGAGACCCAGCGGCGGTTATAATGCACAGAGACAAGCAGGTTGTGTAATGACTGTCGGCCATTGGCAGTGAATAGAAAGCACCTCATAGTGTTGATGTGTCAGGGCATTTGTCTTCATGTCTCTGTATCATTTGTTTGGGCAGGCGGTGCATATGTTGACTGTTTTGTATTTATTTATTTATTTATTTATTTATTTATTTATTTATTTATTTATTTATTTGATGATTCACCTTTTCGTTCATTTATTTTTTAATTCACCAAATTATTCATTTATCAATGTATTCGTTTTTTTTTTTTCAATTTAAAATTATTTGTGTTTCATTCTTATTCAGCTTCAGTTGTTTCATTTTTGTTCCAATTTCACAGCGCATACCAATTCAAACCTGAATTAGTATGAATGTCGTCACAAGACGACCAATAGAGTGTTGTCAGTTGCAGTTAACCATATGTGACAGGACTGGTAGTCCGCTTGGAACCGTAGTCGGTTCCCCATTACTTTGTTCAGGTGACGTTCGTCCCATATACAGTAACCCCGATTCTTTAACCCTAACCTGTTCCTGTCCCACCTGCTCTATGCGGAGCTGTACAACCAAGAGGACAAACTCTCTACAAATTCAGTTTTTCAGTGTTTCAAGTAACCCTGTGCAGTCACAATAAGGTCTGAACGTTGGCCTAAGACTCCCCTTTGCTCCACATTGCCATTTGGCTTTTGAGTCTGTAATTCGTTCCATCCGTTACCCGGAATTTTGTCCCAGTCCAAGGTAATCTTGTGTTCCTCGATACCCTTGTAACATTTAGCTCATAAGACTGACAGTCAAGCACAGGATTTGCTCTTTTTTAACAACTATAATCCAGGGTGCCACTTGTCATATGTGCAACACCACACGTACGCAGACAATTTAGATGCTTAATTCATTCGAAATCCGTATATCACTACAGCCAGACGACTTTTAGGTATTTTGTATTTTTTATTTTCTCTGGGTCCACTGTCATTTCACTTATGCTGTTTTAATATTTTTAATAAATGTTACTTTTTACATATGAAATCAATGGCCATTATACCGTTCACATAACCTGAAAAATTTTGTTAGATATTCATGTATTGAAAGAAATTTAAAACAATCGCTACATTTTGGGAATGGGATTTTACTTTTATGAAGTTAATCGACGTGTAACTTCAGTAGCAAAATATGTAATGTTTGAAATATTAAAACGGTATTAGTTAAATAACAGCAGACCTAGAGGAACGAAAAAAGAAGAAATGCATCTCGACGCAGAATCAAAAAATATTTTCTTTAGTCTTTATTATGGTGCGTATAGGATGTATGCATTACATAATATGTAGAAGCAAACAAGTCTCAAGTATTGAGAATATATTTTAACGGAACAGGTTTAGTTAATGGTGAAAAACATCATTGGCTTTTGAGATATTTAGATATGAAAAACTATAAGTCTAATTCTTGGTTTTTGTCTTTGATCTTACAAAAGTTAACGGAAATAAACTTCGTTGTGTCAGATCCCCTTGGTTTCATTGTATATCTTATCTCATGGAGAACATATTTTCAAACTGAAATTGATTTTAAAAATTCCAAATGCGTCTGTTTCTTTTGTAGCATATTTTAATGATAACACACACACAAGCACACACACACACACACACACACACACGCGCGCGCACACACACTTTTAAGATACTCTACTAAGATAAGTAATCAACTGACATCCATTGTAACCATTAAAATGTGCTGTCACAAAACAAAAAGTAAAACAAATTATTATCTGTGTCCTTTGAGTCTATACACTCCAGGAATGTACTGCAAATTATATATCGCATCAAATCCTGCTTCTACCTTCACAATATGTTCTCTTCTATCAATCATGGTCCATATAATAACTATTGCAGAGAGGTAAAATAAAAACATGAAAAAAGGGGATAAAAGACCTGCGGTTCCCTACGTAATATTCATCAATCTGATCTCCTATTAACTCCACTGTAAGAACCCTCTGGATATCCCGATTTCACAGCACTTCCCCTGCTGATTATCCTCCATTGAAATCACCCCCATAAAGCCTCTCTTGTTTCTCCCAGTCCAAGTCAAATTTCTGGCCGACCACTCCATCTCACTGAACAGCCACCGAGGCGTGATCTCGTCGAACAAAGGGTTAATTTGTAACGGTGAACAGAAAGTGGCGGCTTGCCGGTTATAGTTACAAATTTATCAACGACCTAAGCAAGCGTGGACAATCGCTAATGCGTCAAATCACGGAGTCGATCTCGGTGGTTATTTGCTGCTGGAAGGTAATGGAGAGATCTGCAATCAAAGGCGGGGAGAAATTTAGATGAAATGATTTTGTGCTGGCGCTTAGTGGTTTTTATTATAGATATCAATGCACATGAAAGAGGGGCATTCAATTAGGGAGAAAATTGAATTGGTCATGGAGAGTGAGGTGCTGGTTACTAATGGAGAACAGGTTGGATTCAGGGAGGGTCCATTATTGCTGTCCTCCTCCAAAGAAAATGAAAAAAGAAAGAAAATTAAAAGATATTAAATTAAGAAAAAAGGGGAAAAAAACAACTCACTTCCACCAAACTTTGAAAAAAAGACTTAGGTTCCAAATCTAGTGTAGATAGTGATGGATACAGTTAAAGTTTCTACTGAAAACTTCATTCAAACATCAGTATAGGATGTAAAAAAACTGTTCCCCTTCTCTGAGAGGCAATTATTGGCGAGGAGTGACATCTCAACCCGAAAATATTATGCTTGATATCACTCACCTGGAGGGTCTAAAGCTTTAGACCAATTTCGGGCTATAGCCGTTTTGCATAACTGGGCTCAGACATTACATTGTAAAGCCGACTGATCTTGTAGGTATTGAGCTAGAACACCAGTCCATGTTTTTCCTTTAAACTGGTTAAAAATTCAACAAGGGCAAAAGGGTTGTTTGTCATTCTAGAAACAAGAAATCTCTTCCGGGACGTGCTAATTGATTCAGCGGTAGTGTTAATTGTTGGTTTGAAATTATCTGCGTGTAAATTAATGTCACCTATAGGAACTCTGTGTGTCTGCTTCTAGAGATTTCCACGGAACTGCACGTACCTGGAGGCACGTCTTGACATTTTTTTTTTCTCATATTTTAACATGTTTTTTAAGTGCACTCAATATGATATGTGAACAGAGGCACTATTAGCTTTGGTTTTCCTCGTCCAAAATTGCCCATGGAATATGACTCAAGTGCTGCGCTCTTGAAACTCGATTCAAAGTCTAGATTTTAGTGTGCATCTTGTAAGAGATGAGATGCATACTGAATCGGGAGAATTCAACAGCTCAACACATGGTTTTTATTTAGGGGCACATTTGGGACTTCGAAAGTCCATATACGTAATAACTCCCTGCACATATTATTTTGAGTACGGTACACAT